GTAAGAGAGATTAGTAGTATACCAAGAAATTGACACAATCAAACTAACAATTGAAAAAAATTATTACTAGTTGGCAATAGGGGCAAATATATATATATATATATATATATATATATATATATATATATATATATATATATATATATATGTGTGTGTGTGTGTGTGTGTGTGTGTGTGTGTGTGTGTGTGTGTGTGTGTGTTATTAGTTGAAATGACTTTAAGGATGTGTTTGAAAATCAGGAAAATGATTTTTAAATAATGTTTTTTGAAAAAATATTACTTTTCAGAAAATAGTTCATTTTAAGTGTTTGATTGCATTCAGGGAAATACGTAGAATTGTATAATTATATATTTTAATTGTTTTATTTAGAATATAAAAATATTTATAATATTAAAAATAATGTTATTTATTAAAATTAATTTATTAAAAAAAAACTCTGGTTTCTGGCGGAAACCAGTAAATATTGATTTCCGTCAGAAACGATTGTGAGGTCTGTGGAAAATGACTTTCGCTAAATTTTGACTTAAGTCATTTTACTCCAAAATAGTCATACTTTTCAAAGTCAACAAAAAATGTATTTTGTTACTCGACTTTCCAGGCACATCCAAATACTGAAAACTCAAAAAATGATTTACAGAAATCATTTTTCGAGTTTCAAAAACAACCTAATTGCATTGAAATTCGCTCTCTCGAACAAAAATAATCGTACATGTGTATGTATAGTCATGTCAAAAAAATCTATGTTCTAATTCATACCTACAATCATATTTAATGAGCTCAAGAAGGGTGTCTTTGGTTCGCACATGGGAATCGGAATCGGAATCGAAATAGGAATCAAATACTTGGTAATGGTAATGATTTTAGTAAAAGTATTTTGTATATTTGGTAGTAAGGTGAAATTAGAATGATTACCAATATTGCAGTTTGGTTATTATGTATGATCTTATAATGGGAATAAAAATTTAAAAATACTAAGAACAAAAAATCAAGACAATTTATTTTAATATAAAGAATCCGAAGCACCAATTGAACAAAAAACAAAAAAAAAACAAAAAAAAAACAAAAAACAAAACAAAACAAAACAAAAATCTAAAAGCACTAATCTAAACTTAAAAAATCAAATTGCCAATTAGAATGTGGAATAATGGAATGAGTCCTTATTTTATTAGAGAATGAGTTTTTAATTAAGGGGTAATCAAATCACATAGGCCCTGTTTGGTAAAATGGCTGTTAGCTGATAGCTGTTAGTTGTTAGCTGATTGTGTTAATTAAATGGTATAAATAGTTGATAATATTAGCTGATTGTACAAAAGTGTTTGGTAAATTAGCTGTTAGCTGTTAGCTGTTTGATATAATTTCTTTTCTCAAAAAGCTAATTGAAAAAGTTACTTGGGGTAGCTTTTTCAATTTTAGCCTTTTGGAGTTGCAAAAAGCTAATTAACTAAACATTTATATTGATATTTTAACTAAGGGTCTGTTTGGAAACCCGGAAAATGACTTCTGGAAATCATTTTTCGGGTTTTTGGTGTTTGAGAAGGCTGAAAATAAAATGGTCAAAGGAAAATGCTAGTTAGTCAATGGAAAATGAGGGCTAAAATCTGGAAAATGACTTCCCCTTTTTTTTTGGCGGAAGTCATTTTCCATCTTCCAATCAACACACGCTCAAACCTTCTTCTCCCAAAATATGACTTCACCATTTCAGATTTTTTTTTTTTCAACCTTCTTCACTGGTTTCCCCACCGGAAACCAGTTTGGTTTCCGGTGGGGAAACCAGTGTGCAGTCACTGGTTTCCGATCGGAAACCAGTGACCCACTGGTTTTCGATCGGAAACCAGATCTGGTTTCCGATGCGGAAAACCAGTTCCGAAATCAGATGCAAATTTTTTTTATTTTTTATTTTTTATGTCAAATCATGTTGCTGTTATTTTTTTTTACTGATTATATAATAAAATGATTTTGCTTAATTTGTGAATTTTAATTTTCAAGACTTTATTTATGCATTTATGTTTTTTCTAATATGTAATTGTGATTTCAAATTGTCATAATCGGTATATAATAATTAAAATGTTTTAGTATGTCATTTTGTTCATTTTCTGAAAAATGAACCAAACACCAAAAGACATTTTTCCATCATTTTCTGGAAAATGAACCAAACACCAAAAGACAGTTTTCCATTGTGCAGCCAAACACAGGAAAGGAAAATGACTTTTGGAAAATGACTCATTTTCCAGAAGTCATTTTCCGGGTTTCCAAACAGACCCTAAATCAAACAATTAATAGTGGTCAAATAAGCCAAAATTGACTTATAGGCCAATTTTTTACCAAACAGAACCATAATAGTGCTCTGGAAATCTGTCAACCAAAGAATAACAATGACTTTGATCCATAATCCTGATAGCTAAACCCGTAAACCAAACACGAAATAATTTTTTTAAATATATATTTATGGGAATTAAGAACTGATTTTTTTTTTTTTTACCTTTAAATCACAAACTAATATCGCTAAATTCTAAATTTTAACTTAAAAAATGTTATACAAGCAAAATTTGTGGAAAATGGTAGAGTATCTATATTTCTATGTTTCAATAAATGCATGCTCTATTGTCAATGTTTACAAGTCAATAAGGCATCAACTAGGATCGAATTAAAATAATGTAAGAAAGTACAATTCGATACTAATACTAATTATTATATTGGACAAGTCCCAACTGCATCTTTTATGAAATTCAATTTATTAAATAATGTTCTCCAAACTATGTACGATTTTTTCATTTATTTGAATTTTGTCACATTGTATAGACCAAACATATTATTAAGTATTAACTAATGTTATTGCATGCATGCGTATGTACGAGCTTTGGTTGTCTACTCTGTACGTTTTAGTCTATGAAATATCAAATATAATTAAATTACTTTAATTTATATATTCATTTGTCACTTATAATAATTATTACAACTTTTTTTATTGTTTAAAAAAATAAATAAATTTATATCATTATAAGTGGAATCTCCATTAGACCAATCAACAATAATAAATAATTAAGATATATATGTGTTAGTTTGTGAATTAGTACACTTTATGCGACAGGATTAGCTAAGAGGGTGTTTGTATAAATCAAACTCGTAACTTTTTAATATAAGTTATAATTATGTTTCACCAATTCAGCCACTTCTTTCTGAGCTCCTTAAGTATTATTTTTTGATAATTTGGTGGACTACTCCCCATTTCTTTATTGCATTTGATCCTTCCTACCCAAATTTTTTTGTTTTAAAAAATAGTCAAATTGTGTCACATTTGTTTATAGTTCTAGACCAAACTTTTTGTTCCCAAATGTGTTAAAGTGTTTTCATCGGTACGATTACGAAATAAAAATTAGAAATGTGACATATTAATTCTAGGTGTTTTCTACTAAAATTTTAATTAAAGAGTAAATGTGCCCCACCACCCACCCCAAAAAAAGTGATACCAAATGTGAAAAATAAAATTCTACAAATAACTATGAATTTATATGATATTACACTTTAATTATATTTTTAACAAATAAAAACAAGATTTATTAAAATTTTATAATGATAATGGGAACATATAAGGTGAAAAACACATAAATATGATTTTTCTCATTTTCATTGGATAAACATCATATAACAAACTCCTGTTATGGAAGCTAATAAAGATAAACATTCCCCACCAACAAATGCTATCAAAAGGGCAAAAGGATTAATTATACTCATCAATTGATGTGTGGTAGGATTGTGACACAATTATTCTATATGATATGAACTGTGGATTTAGTCTCAAATTTTTTCATCATTTGTGATAGTTGTACACGAGACAACATTATTTTTGGTACATACTAGAGGTAACATTATGGTACAGATCATAGATGGCAAATAGATTGTTCAATAATTCTTGTATATATGTCTATTTAAATTAATTATGAGTTATTTTGGACGGGTTTAAATGAGCAGGATTGTGAATTTCTTGAACAGGTTAATTCATTTTAATTATTATAAAAATTATACATAGTAAAGGTTAATTCATTTTAATTATTATAAAAATTATACATAGTAACATATTGGAGGTGTTTGGTAAATAGATGTTTGCTGATAACTATTAGTAAGTTTGACTATTTGATAATATTAGCTGATTGTAGAAAAATGTTTGGTAATTTAGATGTTAGCTTATAGCTATTACATGAAAAAGATTTTCTAAAAAAACTTATCAAAAAAAACTGCTTTGAACAGCTTTTTGAAATTTAGATTTTGGAGAAATAAGTTATTACAAAAAACTAATTAATCAAACACTCATATTGGTTGTTTAACCATTTCGTCTTAACCTGGGTGGTTGAAGCTTAACAATGCCAACAACGGTTCAACTGGCGCGGGCTTAAGGGATCGTCTACGGCTTAGTCTGAACGAAAGGGATTAGAGGGTTTTGAGTGGAAATGGACTCGACTGCCGCGGTCGCCATCATTAATCGAGAAAGCAACCAATCCGAGACGATGAAGATTTAATCAAAGACTGCCTGGACTCACTGGACACCAACATGGGATAAAACATTGACTGGGGCTCAGTCACATTAATCAGGGTCCCGGATAATCTAATGGACCTGCTCTATGCCGACTCTCAAAGGCTTAGAGCATGTCAAACCTTAGGGTTAGATAATCACTCTGGGGGACTTTTGATGTTCCAAATCAAATGGTGCAAATGTTAAAATTGTACAAGTGGGTTCACATAATATAACCATATGAATCTAAATTATGCAAACACACACTCCTATTACCTATAGTACTAAAAGTATAGATTCAATGGATCCATAGTAGACAACAAAATATAGCCACCAAACACCAACCAATAACACATGCCACTTGTAACTACAGTCCAAATCTCAATCATGCCACAAACCTTGAAATTAAAGCAAAGTTTTGTCTGTGGATAATCTCAGTCTCAATATCACATCATAGTCCACACACTTTGACATTTCAAAACCAACACATAATTGCAAGGAAAAAACATTACATAGTTCATCATATCATTCATAGAATTTTCATAAGTTGCAAACTATAAGAAAGATAAAAGAGACAAGGGATCAAACATCATCTTCCAAAACTCCACTTACAAAAGCAAAGGCTAAGTAGAGAAAAGAAGGAGGTTTAAGCCCTTTGGACGGCTCTAATAGCTCGAGAAAACCCAATGGACTAACAAGTTCTTTCGACCAAAATGATCCCGACACAAAATTCCCTTCTCGACGACAAAGTAAATACTACTATTAACTTAAATAAACAAAACTTTGTTCGAACAGTATTTAAGTAAAACTCCTATTAGCTGCAAAACTTATGGGCAAGCAATGTTGAGGGGGGTTGACCCGGGCACGAGGGGAGGTTCATCGATCCATTCTTCGTTGCAGTCATCAAAATTGAAGTCGAAATCAAAATCAGGCAAGCTTGTGGGGATCTGCTCATCATGGCCATCAATCCCGCAGAATGGGAGGTCAAAATTGTCAAAGTCCCCGAGACCAAAATCATCAAAACCTGTATATTCATCACTAGCAAAGGCCGCATCCAGCTGCCTAGCAAGGTCCATATCGTCGGCCATTTGAGCCATCGAGAGAGTCTCATCGAGCAGATCGGGCACATTATCAACCGTTTCAAACAGTTGACTCACTAAGATTTCATCGTCAATACCACCCGGGACTTCGGGCGTTTTCTTCTCAACACAATCATCATCCGTCTTCTCGTTATCAACCTTCACATTAGCCACGGCGGAAGTGAAAGATTCCAATTCAAGAACCGAGGAAGGCGAGGTGTGTGACACCAAGCTTCCCACGGAGTCCTCGGAGACACAGGCAACCGCCTTGCCCTTACCCGGGGGATCTGAAACCACAACCGAACCAGACCGATTGATATCGTGATTATCAACCATATAAACATCCGAGCCCTTATCAGAATTGATACCATTCTTCGCCATAGCCTCCTCAAACTCGAGCCGTTTCATTTCATAAGCTCTCGAAGCCTCCTCGGCCGTACCAAAGGTACCAAGCCACACTCTCTTCCCCAGGAAAGGATCGCGAATCTCAGCAGCCCATTTACCCCATTTACGCTGGCGAACGCCCCTCAGCTTCGAGGGGTTAGACGGGCGGGATTGGCCCGGGGTTTTAGCCAAAACCCTTTTCTTCTTAAGGTTGTTTCTTTTCGCCTCATTGCTGCTATCTTGAGAGGAAAATCCCTCAGTTTCAAGCCCCTTAACTTGATTCTTGAAAGAATCAGGTACAGGACAGAGAATCTCACGGACAAACATCCTCGGTTTCTTCACATCCAACCGTTCATCGTCCGATGAATCAGTAGCATCCGGGTCCTCGCAAACAATCCGGATTCTCCTCATGGGCTTTCCGGGCTCAGCTCTGGGTTTCATTGCTCGGCCGCCGGTTGGATGATTCGATAACAACATCTTATATAACTCAGATCACAACGAAACCCCCCAAACAAAATTTCCCCGGAAAGCTCTGGTCCAAGAACAAATTTAAAAAGCCAAAAATATGATCGGAAAACAAGTCAAAAGTAAAAAAAATCAGCCGGAAAACCTCTCGGAAAATCAAGAAATTGTTACGGTTGTATCGGGAAAGTATGTAAGAATCGCTTTATGTGAAATCCCCCAAAACACTCTACTCCAGAACAAGTCCTGCAAAATCCACACAAACCCATCACAGATCAGTCTCAAAAAACATCATAAATTACCACAAAAATTAAAAAATTTCCTAAAACCACTAGGGTTTAAGGATGAATACCTTTTGGGCCTCAAACGCATCGAAACGGACGGGAAAACAACGGCGGCTCTCTGCTGAACTGAACAGCAGAGGAAAAATCTTTGCATACAGAGATTGAGCAAAACAGAAGAAACAACAACCCAGAGCTTCAACAAAAAAGCCCCAAACACAGAACCCAATCCAGACCTTGCCGACATAAAATCTCTTCAAACCACAAATCCTTCCACTCCTCACTCTCTCAAAGAGCCCTTCTCGAATCCGGAAAAGTAAACAAAAGAGAAAAAATCGGATCAGATACTCTGATTTATAGATACAAAAAAAAAAAAAAACAATCTATCAAGAACCCAGCGAACCCAGCGAAAACCCAGAAGAGAAGAATCACAGGATTAGAAACCTATGGCCCAGATTTCCCCTCTAAAACAAGACAAAATCCCCAGAAAACAAAGAACACCTGTATCGATATACGTATGCTATATATGAACAATAACTAGGGGTTTAAGCTAGAGTGGTTATGCAAATAAACAAAGACTTTACCCCTTCACTGTAAACCATTAAGTCCTAATAAAAAAAACGCAATCTTTTCTTCTATTCTTGAAAAAGACGCAAATCTCAATGAAAACACATTACCGATGAGAGACAATATAAAAATCGTGGGCAAAATCAAAGATTTTTTCCTGAGATTAAAATATAAAAGTATATGCGTATGTATCAATGTATATTTGTGTACCTTTCCTCTGAGCCCTTTCTCTCTCTAAATGTCCTTTTCCCCTTCCCCTCACTCACTGCCGTTCTGATACTGCTGCGTGCTGCCCTTCTCTTTTCCCAACCGGTCAAAATATAGAAAATGGTAGCGTATATATATATATATAACTGTAATGTAATGGTACAAGGAGTGTATGTATATGCGGGATATATATACACATACACCCATGCATATACGGTTACGATTTCCTTCTTTTTTTGACCCTATAAAAGTGACCAAATTTAGTAATTTAATAATTATTAATTCTTTAAAATGCAATTTTTTATTTCTAAAATAGAAAATTATAATTTACACATCTATAATAGAAAAATATTATACATTCACGCGATTATCGTCGTTACATAATGTGACAAACAATGATGGATTCGGATTGACTTTTGTTGACGTGTATACAGCGTTGCTCTTTTTAATAATCGAGAGCCAGATTTGGTTAATTTTTAAATTAATATACAAAAAGTCAAATAAAATAAAAATAAAAACCCATGTATATATATAAATTTATTCATTAAAATGCATGTTTCTTAATTCTAATATAGAAAATTACGAATAACACGTTTACAATAGAAAAATATTATGTACCGGTACAATTATCATTATCTGATGGGGTATGACAGCAATTGTGAAGGTGTACATCGTTACTTTTTTAATAATCGGGATCCAGATTTGGTTAATTTGTAAATTAATTAACATATATGTAAATAAAATAAAATGAGAAGTCATATATGTAAATATGTGTATATATATAATGTACTTTTGGTATGACAATAAATGTGTTTGGATTAGTATGGTATGATATGAGCTGGCAACCATACATGTGGTATGACCATACCATCCTCATACATGCATACCATGCTGGGCAAAGATTCCTATTTGGCATTGTATTTCACGCGCCATATAGAGGGCTAATATGGGGAGTGGGTGGCACGCGGGGAGTGGGAGAGTGGTACTAGAAGTCCTACGTTACTGTTTTACTAGGAAGAATAGTCATGCCATGATTCTCCTATAAAGGAGGACAGCTAATTTTGTTTGGACAAGATTAGGGTAGGCTGTTCACTGGAATTACGGATCTGCCACTGAAATTCATTATTTATTTATTTATTTTTTGTTTGAAGATACATTGTTCCCCAATATACCATCAGAACCTGTCAAGGATTCAGGATATTAGATTTTAATTATTTATAAATTTTTTAGTAGGAAAAAAACAATAAATAAATACATAATATAATTTTGTATATATTCTAATTTATTTCCTTAATGAGGTGTTTATTTATATTTTGACTGAAGATTTGCAATTAACTCCAAACTTCTGGATTAAATTTGATTTATAAAATATTTCTATTGTTTTGTTTGGCTTGAAATTCCCAAAAATATTGAGTATATATTTTTATATTATATAAGATAGGATGTAAAAATGAATAAATTTAAAAAATTACAAAATTTAAGTAATTTAAAATTATTAAAATTAAATTTTTTATAATTTTTAAATTTCTAATAATGTTGAGTGTTGACTACTTGGCCACCAAGTAACTGCTTCCAGAATAGTAGTATCATCATTATTTATTACCTTTTTTATAAAATTTCTTTATCATGTGACCTAGGTTTTTTTTTTTACTTTTCAAAATTAAAATATATATATATATATATATATATATATATATATATATATATATATATATTATTTTATATTTGTACCATGTACTTTTAAATGTGGTATAAATTATATTTATAATAAATCAAAATTTTTTAAAATTTATTTTTTATGGGTTGATAATATTAGGTAGGTGTTGTTCATTTATCAAGTTAACAAATATATTGTATTTTAAAATGAAAATTATTTATTTATTTAATATTAATTACTATTGGGATATAAATTTCAATTGTTTTTTTATTTGTAAATAATTATAAATGTTTAGATTGGTTTAATTTCTTAATATATTTATTATACATTCAATTTTAATGAATTAAAAGCTCATATATATTTGAAATAAAATGGACATGATTAACACAAATAAATCATCTATAAAAACATATTAAAATATTCAATTTTAAATCAATATTTCATAAAACATTCTAAAATACAAAATAATTAAATACAAATTGTTACAAAATACTTCTATAATTGTATAAGTTTGCATAATAACTATATAAGTGAGTTCCAATTACATCAATATTATTTTTTACCCCATTTCACAACCAACTTATATATAAAATTAATAAATAAATGAATATAATTAATAACCCAGCCAAGTTGTTCGGTTGTTGGTTTAATAATCACTTCTAGTGGTAGTAGCCTACTGGCATTCTTGGTTTCAATCGCTTGTTGTTTACTTAGTGTAAATCCTTGGGTAGTGGCTATTGTATTTCTTGCCATCCAAATAAATATTTAAATAAATCTATGTATACAGTATATCTATCTACTATCTATCTATCTACTATATACTAATAAGAGTCTGTAAAGTTAGTCATATAACCGAAACTAAAAAATGTCAATTTAATTATTTGATAAATTAATAGTTCATTCTACTATACTAATAAGAGCCTATAAAGTTAGGCATATGACGGAAATTAAAAAATGTCAATCCAATTATTTGATAAAATGAATTGTTCATATAATTTTTATTTTATTTTTTTCATACTTTACCCTCTATTATATTATTTTCTTTCCTTAAATAACCTCACATTCCGTTAGTATAAAATAAAGCTCAATAACATGTCTTATTGTAATAAGGCTATTGTATGTATAATGTCGAATGAAACTGTGGTTGAAACAAAATGAAATTACAATATATATAAAATAAAAATGAATATGTTATACAAATAGAACTAATTACGCGTAACGGATGCTGTTTCTTTTCATTAAAAGAAACGACATCGTTTTAGACCATGATCCACAGTAAAATTTTCCTATTAAGTCTAAGAAGGGACCAAATTCGTAATTTTGCTATTATCAAGGGACCATCTTGGTCATCACATGCATCATTTTCTCAAAAAATTTAATTACTAAAATGGTCCCTTGACTATAGCATAATTACCAATTTGGTCCCAAGTTAATGGATGTCTAACGACAAAACAAACAAAGGACCAAATTGATTAAAAAAATTAAGTTGTGGGACTTTATTGGTCAAACAAATAGTCAATAACAAAATTGATAATTTCGCTATAGTCAAGAGATTTCGATAATTAACTCAAATGTTTCCACTAAATCTTAGTGTATTTTCTATATTTTGCACCATGAATATAACGGAGTTTTCTTCAATTGTAAAAATACAAAACTGTTACAAATTTATTATGAAATGCACCTCATTGTAACTTTCTGTTATAAATCGTGAATTTTTTATAGTAAAATATGATTCTACAATCAGAATAATACATACACAATTATAGTAATTGGGTCAACTATAATTAAAGTTCCATATGTATATTCATTTGGGTATATATTATTCCCACTACTGAAAATTACGAAATTTCCGACCACCTGAAAGTAATCTTAAATCAAGTCAAATTAAAAAGTGGTCGAAAATAGCAACAAAGGTTTTTCGGATACCAAAAGTGATCGGAACAAGACTTTCAACTTGATTTAAGATCACTTTCATGTGGTCGGAAATTTCATAATTTCCAGTAGTGTCCATACCTTTTGACCTAGATATATATATATTTTTAATTTAGGAATAAGGTTCAAATTGGCCACTGAACGTAACCTGAAAATGCAATTAGGCCACTGAACGAAAAAAAAGTGCAATTAGGCCACTGAACACTCCAAAAATGTGCAATTTCACCTGATAGCAGGTTACCCTCAATTTTAGCAGGTTATCTGCTTACGTGGCAGCTGAGTTGACATTTTTAATAAATTTTAAATCATTTTTAATAAAATTTAATAATAATTTTTAAAAAAAAAAATTTTAAAAATAAAAACGACTTTATTTTATTTTTTATTTAATTTTGTTTCAATTTTTTATAAAATTTATTATTAAAATTAATTATTAAAAATGCCAACTCAGCTGCCACGTAAACAGGTAACCTGCTAAAATTGATGGTAACCTGCTATCCGGTGAAATTGCATACGTTTGGAGAGTTCAGTGACATAATTGCACGTTTTTGGAGTGTTTAGTGGCCTAATTGCACTTTTTGTTCGTTCAGTGGCCTAATTGCATTTTCAGGTTACGTTCAGTGGCCAATTTGAACCTTATTCCTTTAATTTATTAACAATAACAAACATCCTTTCATAACATATGCCATTTTTAGTTAACTAATTAGTATTTTTTTAATATAAGATTTGCAACCAAATTTTGCTTCAAAAATACTCAAAAGATACACTGCATAATTAATTCAAGTACTTATATAGACCAACACTAAAGAATTTGTGTGAATCATTCTGCCGTAAAAGGAATGGAATTAATGTTGGAGAATAAGAGATATAACTTTTATTTTGAGTTGTCATCCGATCCCTACATAATATATATTGTGACACTATCATACAATTGTCAACTACCCGTGCCACATAATTGGCATGTTGCATTCTTTATAAAAATGTTAATTTATAAGTGTTCACAATATTACTAATGCCAAGCCCGTCACACATTTACACGGGTTTTTCTAGGATAATTTATATCTCAATTGTAATTTACAAATTATTACATATAAGAACAGAGTTTACTTAGGGCACACTCTCAGCCTCTCAGGTAATACCGGCCGTTTTCCTTGTCATTTAAATCGAAATAATAATAATAATAATCAAACCCATAAATTGAAGATGTCAGCAATAA